TTTGTAAGTCTGAGATGTGACAAATGTGGTGGGCTTAGCTAACAGGGTGGGGACCAGCAGTTATTAACTTTGGGAAATGCCTCATTATGTAAGGCATGAGGTAATAATAGGTGGGAAAGAGAAATACAAGTCAAAGAAGAAAATCTTCGCATGTTCTGAGGAGTCACAAGAGTTGCTTTATAAACTTCAGGAGAGAAACCTGATATCCAAAGTCCCCTTTTTCAAGACACTAATGAGATTTTATTTGTCAATTTTAAATGTATAATTCATGTGTTGTATTTGTTATTGTTGCAGAGTCAGCAGTTGCTTTATTTAATGAGGAGGACAACCAGAGAAGAGATGGTTGGGAAAGGCTGTTATTTGTTTACTGTACTGAAGAGTATGACAGTGCCCGTGTCCTAAATGGCCACCACGGGTATGGGCCTGACAGCAAACACAAGCACTGTGAACTTCACTTATGAATCAGCAGGTCACAGATATAAAAGAAGGAAGAGATTTGAGGAAAAGAAAATCATCTGAAGAAATGACTGCATATATTTAAACTACAGTATAAGAATTTTGGAATTACCTGGAACCTCCGTCTTTCTGTTCTGAAAAAGCTAAATTATAACAGCCAGTTGTTCTTCTCTTATTGTGGCATCCTGACCTGAAACTATAATCAACCTCCTGAATCCAAACGGTCGATTGGAGGGAAGGACTAGGGAGTAAAGTTCCCCCTGTTCACAAAGCCCCTCTAATTGGAGGACTCCTTAGTGGACCATTTTCTTTAGCAGGGAGCCTTGAGCTAAACTAGAAGTGAAATCTCTCTGTTTGTGATAGGTTTGTATTTCACCCTTTCTCTTTGTAAGGAATTATTTTCGAATGACAAATGCTTTTCCCATTGTGAACAAAATTTGAAAGTGTTGACATGCATCAATATTGTATTTTTTTATGACTTGAACATGAAGGGTGAAACAGATACCCAGATAGGAGGTCAGATATTTCCTACATGTGTGTTTATATGTAGATGTCTGTGTTTCTGGTGTGAAAAATGTGGCTGAGCTGTATTGCGGGGTCATTTTCGAGCTCTGGTGTCACTTACCTCTGCAGAAAGAGCGTATGTGTTGGATCAGCAATCAGTGAGAAGTCAGTGTAGAAATCGGTTTCCTTTTTCTGCAGGCTTTGAGCAGGTTGCCTCTACAGATGCTCACACACATCAGCCTTCAACTGGAGCTTGGTGAGGTCAGCGTGCAGTGCTGGCTGTGGGTGGAAAAAAGTAAAAGGCATGGACTCAGGTGGTCTTGGACTGACATGGGAAGAATAACTGATAATGACTGAAAGCAGAAGTTCTTCAGGCACAAGATGCAGAGGAGTGAGAAAATATGCCTATAGGCTTGGATCTTGAATTTTGGAAGTCCTAACATGCTCACAATCACAGTGCTAAGATGTTGTTTAATGTTTATCATGTCCATCTGCTAACACTGCTGAGCTGAACATTAAACTGAATGTGCTATTGAAATAAGGACAGAATCAGTGCTGATAGCCATGGTAGTATGAATGGTGATGCTAATGTTATTTAAATACGACTTTTGTTTAGTTTCATCTTGTTTTGTTTTTGTATACCAGGCTCCATTCCACATGAATGGATCATCAGATATAGGCTACTGATTCTGATTGTTTGACATTGTATAATTACTGTCCGATACTCAACAGTGGACCAGAGCTGATATGTGTTTCAGTATTCATGGCCTCAGGGTATTGCTATGTGAGCCCTGCTTGTGCTGCACACAACAGGGCTTTGTAGCTAAGTGCATAGTTATAGGACAGTAATAGCAGAGGAGAGTGCACAGGGAAACATTCCATAAATAAGTGACAACCAGAAAGTAATAGCAGGATGCCCTGCTCCCCATAAGACCTGGGTGTTCATGGGCAAGTGTTTCATGTTGGCTTTCAACTGAGAGGGCCATCATTTACTCAACACCGGCAGCTGTGAAAGAGAGAGCGGCATTCTTAAGCCACTGGAGCGCAGCACGGTTCACTTGCAGATCCCATGTGACATTCAGAAAGGAGGTCATTTTTGGCCTGGAATGCTGACAGTAAAAGCGAGGCAGGTTGTTCAGACCCCAGGATACAATCGTTGGTTTGGAAGAGTTGCTTTAATCATGAGTTTACCTTGGCAAAGACTGGCATGTTGGTTGTGTCACCGACAGGACGGAGGACTTCATTGGCACTAACTGTTGTCAGTGGGGAAAAATGTCACGGATATTTCTGGACATATACAGTAAGCACATTCAAATTTCAGACCATGATTTCAACTCTTTGATACATCTGTTGATTATATAATATGGAATATTTCGTGTAAATGTTCAACCAAAAGGTGCCATAAGCCTGATGGCACATCACCCTTTAGGTTTGCTATGAAAAATGAAATGGGCACCAAAATAAAACATTTTTGTTGGGTACTTTGGGCTCATTATCTTCTCATATGTTAGTCAATAAAACATAATGTAAGTATGTGAGTGACCATGTTTAGCTGCATGTGCCCCTATAAATACAGGGAGAAGTCTATCATAAGAGGAAGAATGATCACATTCTCCATGCTATAGCTGTCTCGCCATCTGCTCCTATAGCTCATGTAACATGTTCAAGCCTGCCCTCTGTTATGTCTACTCAGAAATAGAAAAGGCAGCTTAAGAAAAAAAAATCTGCTCAGAAAAAAATTAACTACAGCTTTTCTTCACAACATCAGGCCCTGGAATTTAATGAAATAACTGTATAGACTGCCAACAGCATAAAGTTAACTCAATTCCACGGTATAATTAAATGACATGATCCTTGCCTATTGACCTGTTCACTGTCTGCTAAATGCCTAAGCATGTGAGTGGGAGAAAGCAAACAGAAAGCCAGACCACTTTTTCACTGGCACTGATCCCCTCACGTTTTCCTGAGGGGATATATGAAACCAGCAAACATTTGCTGAACAGAAACACACACAAAGACACATGGTGCTTCCTAAGAGGTTCCTCACAGGAAACAATACTGCCTGCAGGAGTGATAGCCGTCACGTTGGCCAGAGAACTCAAGTAGGTTATGACACATGGATGTATGCTGGTGTCTGGTGGACCCCTCAACAGGGCCAGAGAGTTAGACAAACTTCTGATAAAGAGCAGACTGGGCGTATTTGTTTGTGCATGTGTGTGGGTCAGGACGTTTGACACCTGTTAGTTTCAGGATCCAGTTTTAGGAAGAGAGAAAATGTCTTGTCGGTATCTTCTTTTAAAAGCCATTTACATTCAGTCTACAGCCTGTCCATAGCAGTAGAAGAGCTTGTAGCCTGAGGGTGAGGGGCTAGTCGCTCTGTGTCCTGGAATGCAGTTGACTTTCTAAATCCCCCTCAGTCTATCCTGGGGCTGTGGGGCAGGGCCTATCTCAAGCCCCCTTTTCCACACAAGCTACGTCTGGAATCTCTAAGCAAGCAGTTAGCTGATTCTCACAGCCTCACTCTTTCACTGTCAGTGTGTGTGTTGATTCCAAAGCGCAATGGAAGAAGAAATTGCAGATGAAGACAAAGATTGTTCACTTGAGGAAGGTAATGAGCTTTCTGACATGCCACATGTGAGTGAACTTGGATCCTTTGGAGGTTTTTGTTTACTCAGTCTGCTGAGTGTAATTTGGTTAGCAGTGGGGAAACTGTTTTTGTGAGTTAAAAATAGGATTGGAAGTACACGAGACATGCTGTGTTTCTGAACTTGAGCAGGGTGGGAGTCTGGGTTAATGGTGCTGGTGACAAAGCTTGATTATGATGTACCGCCTTCTAAATAAATTATGCCTGCTTTTTTAATTTACTGATAAAAACAGTTTTGCATTTTCCTCAAAAGACCTGGAGGCGACAATGAAAGGATCAGAAACTGTAAATGGCTAGAGACAAATTTAGTTGATGGAAATTTCTTGGCACAGGAAACAAAACATAATTTCAGTCATTACAACTACAAAACACATGTATTTCCTGTCTTAAGTTGTTGTCCCTGTTTCAGTCCTAAAACTCCTTTTTCATGTGTGGCTCACAGCATGCTGTCAGGGAAAAAAAGCCATAATAAAACAGTCACAAAACAGTGACTAATCACTTGACTGTTGAGGTGCTGTACTCCAAAAGAGGTCCTTAATTTTACACAATTACCCTTTGAAAGGTGCACATTATTGCTCTGCCCATGTGTCTCAGAGACAAGGCAGCCTATCAGCTTGCTTTATTGTTCCCTCTGTTTTCACCCTCAGACAGGCCTCCTTCTTTGCCACTATTCATATTCTGTCATTTATTTTATTTTCACCTCTCTTCTGTTCTGTTCTCACACAGAAGCTCATGGGATCTCTTTCAGACTGTGATTCAGGACGGGATAACAGAGTAATGGAATTTACTCGAGCTCCATTCTGCTCTAAAATCCAACTGTACCACTGTTTTTTGTTTGTTTTTATATTGGATTTAGAAAAAAAAACTGGTGACAGAGTTAGTGTCTTGGGTTTCTTATAAAGTGTATTTATGATTGTCACCATGATGTTGCTGTAATGCTGCAAGCACACAACAACTGTACACCTGACATTTATGGTATTCAGGGGAAGCTGAGATCTGTCGCTCAGTCATGAGAAACAGGGAATGACATTTTGGACTCAATGCATTTAGGAGATTTTGCTCAATCTCAGCTGTCAGTTCAGTTTTATCATCACTCATATTTTGTCCTGTAGCATTAAATAGTGGTTTATTGCCTAAATATAAAACAGCATGAATCTATAATGAACTAAGTTGAATGAATATCATAAAATTTCAGTATTTCTGCAGAAAATATTCAAGACAAGTATCTTTTGCATCTTTTGGAGTCTGTTTTTCTTGTCTCTTTTTTTCTCAAGTGCAGTGTGTACCAGTAATTTGCCCAGCCATGCCCTCTTCATTACCTGTTTACCTACCTGTCAAAACATCTGCACAGCACATGTCCTCACCCCTTCTCTTTGTGTCCCATCTGTCCCCTCAGAACAAACCAAAAGCAACCTGAAGGTAACCTCCTCACAGGACGCCGAGCACATAGGCCGCAAACAGGCATCCCCAAATGGGACACCCCCTTCTAGAGACACCAAAGGCAACCGAACCGTCCCTCGAAGGCACACGTTAGGTGGAGCCCGCGGTTCTCGAGAGATCCTGGCTATGCAGCCGTCAGACATGGACAAGAAGAGGGAGGCCTTCCTGGAGCACCTGAAGCAAAAATACCCCCACCACGCTTCCGCGATCATGGGCCACCAGGAACGACTGCGAGAGCAGGTCAGTAGCCTGAATATGTGGGTGGATGATATGGCTTCTGCTGTTGTCTTATTTAAGATATTTCAGTAAAGTGAAGCAAAAATCAGTATATTACCAATGGATCAAATGTGTGTGTGATAAATGTGTGATATAAAAGAGGTTGCTTACTGTATAACTTACGGTGGATTGTCACTCAACTCTATCCTCAGCTTTAAAGTCTGAGTTTAAGGTCAGAATTCTGAGGAAAAAATGAAGAACTCAAATTATTTATCGAAGCTGTAATCCTCTTCCATAGCAGACAGGTGTTTTCAAAAAGAAACAAGCTAAAATAAAAATAAAAAAATTTAATTAAGGCCAGGAACAATTGGCTGAGGTAACTTTGCAACCGCAAAATTATTTCCTCCCTTTTGTCGCTGCAGGTTAAATGTGAAGTCTAAAGCTGCCTGTCATGTTTCCCTCCCACAGCTGCTGTGAAACAGTGAGGTGGTGTTTTTGTGAAGCAGGTGAAAACATGTAATCCACAAACAGTGTGAATCATCTATACACTTTAAAATCTGTTTTGATCAGCATACAGTAAACAGGCTTGCAAACAGCTTAAGACCGGTTGGTGTATTGCAGACACCCGTATGATGTATGAAGTATACGTTTCTCTGTGTTATAATGTCCTTGTGTCTCAGTTTTTGTTTTTAATGAAGCCAGCTGAAGGGGGAGGGTGAACCAGAGGGAGTGTCGCTGTGCACATTTAGCTCACCTGGTCTTTGTCTGTTTGTTTGCTCCTGGTCAGAGGACACAAAAGAGACAGGCAAACTGGCTTTGTAACCAAAACAGCAGAGGTTATGGTGAGACTGGCGCTGAGCCACAGGGCAGCTCCAGGCAATGGTACATGGCATTGTGCAAGAGGGATTGTGCCTGTGTGCTGTTTTCAGACCAGCCCACACAGCCTGCCCACATGCAAAGTAAATTTATTTCCACTGCGCTTCATGATGAACTCTGTGAATTTGCATAAGCAGACCTAATGGCAGTCAGCAGTGCTGTTAAACTGGTCAGTGTGCTTTTTTGTTTACGTTTTGTCTCATACATGAAGTCAACCACTGATTCCCACCCATGTATGAAAATTTCGCTTATATTTCTGTTGTTATCCGCGCACAGGGAATAGTTGGAAAGAGTTTGTTGTGAAGTTTAGGTAGTCAGACAGGTAGGTTCAGCTCGGGACTGGGGTGGAGTCAGAGTTGCCATAGTGACTATGATGTCACCACTGGAGGGGCTCAGTTTACGCGTAGGTGCCTGGTTGAGCGAACTGGCTGAGAGCTGTGTGAGAGCTGGCGCATGGCTCTGCAGAACAGGCGATGGACCTGATGATCGTCTGGATACATGGCTCTCTGTGCGCAGATGAATAAAAGTAAACTTTTTAACAGACAGGAACAAACTCACATCGTCAGCTACAGCCCGGTCAGAGGAATTAAAGGTAGGATATACTGGAACATTTACGACCATATTGCTGTAGGCTGTCATTACATTATTTAAAACAGCACTGGGAGTGCCACTGTTTTATTGTATTGATTGTTATTGCGCTGTGGAGCACAATGACGTCGAGGCGTTTGTGCACTGCAGCCGACACAGTGCACATGACTCAGATAGATTGTTCAAACTTCTAAGAAGCGAATGCAAAACTTGGCGCCCGAGTTTTAGCAGGAAGAAAATGTAGCTGATTTCTACATTTCAGTTCAGTTAAGCAGCCGTAAATGCAAAGCATGTTATGTATTTTGAAGGGAATTTAACAACATTTGATATCTCACATAATAGTGATAGCGGTAGATGTTATATAATAAATAATAAATGATTGTTAAGCGCATGCTGTTAATATTGTGTTGCTGCATGTTTTTGCAGTGGCATAATATTAAAATTAATTCATTAATTAAAGATTCGTAGTTACTTTTGCAATCTATATCTCACCTGCCATAGTTTCACTTGTAGCTTGGCTCATGTTTGTTTGCCTACTTTATATGTAGCATTCACACCCTCTATAATTATGGCATGTAATTAAATGTGAAGATTTCTATGGTCTAATTTCAGTTGATTTAAGAGATGGACTTGTTTTTGTGGCTAGATTGGCTGTAATGTGTCAAGTATGTGGTCTGTTATTGCATATTTTTTGTGCATTCACAAGACCAGCTCCATGCTGGTTGTACATGTAGTGTCATGGGGTTGTAATACCTTGTTGGGAGAAGATAATTAGCTTGTCTGTGAAAATATGTTTGTCATTTCAGCATAATAGAGAATTGCAGGGCGTTCCTTACTGGTAATTACTGTTAACATATGATGTGCTATTCCAGTTTGTGTATATATAAAAACCTTTAAAAGTTCTTCCATCAGATATTGAATCACTGGATTGAGACAGTTTGACTGTCAGTTTATGAGACATGACACTTAAATTGATTTTGGAATGAAAGGCCTCTTATGTTATGTAGATGTGTGGGATGAGATCTGATTGATGGTGGTGATTCATCACATGCTGTCAGAAAACAGACATGGCTGGTACATGAATTTCTGGCAAATCAATGAAAAATGTCGAGGATTGCAATATAAACAGCTGAAAATTAAAACAAGAAAACAAAATTGTGTTTGCCACTTGGTGTCCTGGAGATGTACAATTATACTAATTTGAGGGAAAACAGCAAATTAACATGTTACCTGCACAACAGTGCTGTTAAATCTGTGATAAATAGTGTGGGAGAAAGGGAAAATTGCTGCCATTCTCACGCAGATGTAAACGTGCCAACCATACAGGAAAGGTAACATTTATGGCAAGAGTGCATGCCTCAGAGTGATTAAAAAAACATCTGTAGTTACAAAGGCAGAGATGTATCAAGGTCAGGCAGAGGTTGGAAAGATGATATTGCTTTAGACTGAAGCATGGATGACCTGTTTCCACCCAGCTTGACCATGCAAACACTCACAGACACAGACACACACTGGGTGACTTATTCTTTTAATGGAGTAACCCTCAGCTCTCTCCCTCACTCTTGGTGATCCTTAAACCCACAACAAAAGCGAGCACTTTAATTTCCTCCTAACCTCATCAGGCCAGCTAAGACCCCGGTCCCATCCAAGGGAGATGAGATAACATCCCATTGGCCTAACTGACGACACCCATTCTCTCACTGCTTTTTCTCTCTGCCCAGGGGCTTTGACAAGCACGAACTGAACTGCTTGAGCGATCACAAACACACATACACACTCAACAAGTTATCTCCTTCCGCCTGTGTGTCAGTGTCTGTGTGATGGACTGTGTGCTGCTGGGCCCAGAGTTTCTCTGCAGGTTTGAGCAGCCATGTTTGGTTGAGTATTTGTGGCTGTGGACACCAGACAGACAGTCAGGACAATACGCTGCCTGATGAAAGCACAGATCATGATAACAGTATGAGGGTCAACACAGGTAAACTGTTTTTATCGGTGCACTTTTTTTTGATAGGTGCTTATAGTTCTCTACAGTATCTGCTTTAGTGTGTAAGTGTGCTGTGTATGTATAATTACCGGAGCCTTACTCAAGCCTCAAGACTCGCTGTCATACTGTGATGCTGTTTACCTGGGATCTCACTAGACATATTAACGATCTTATTAAGTTTGTTTTTATTAATTACAGAAATTGAGAAATACTGAGCAGTAAAACAAAAAGTTAGAATATTCTCCACAAATAAATGTTATAAAAGGACCAGCAAATGTTTATTCACATCAAACTGCCAAAGCCTTCATATAAAATATAATCACTGTAGCCCCTTCCTATAAATCACATCTGTAGTTGAGTACCATTGATAGTTTTACATCAATAACTGTCCCAAGATATTTGTATTCATGTACAACTTCAGTACAGTCCGCATTAACATCTATTTGTTGGTGTCCTACTCTTCTTGTTCTAAAGTCATTTATTTGGTTTTCTTAGTATTTAGCTGAAGAGAACTGGCCTGACACCAGTCAATAGACATATCCACGCTTCCACAATACTTAATATCATCTTCAGCTGTTAGTTCAACAATATCAGTGTCATCAGTGAATTTAACATTAAAACACCTGGTGAGGTCCCTTATATTCAGTATCAATCCAAACTGGTCAAAACAAAGCACAGTCCCAATGAAGCAGTTAAGTGGAATGGCACTAAATAGTATTGTATGAGTTAAGTTATGTTGTCCACCTCTGTGTAACATTTTGCATACAGGTAGGCAGAACATTACCAGTCTCCCGCAGACTTCTCTCTGTGGGCTCCTGGTCCTGCTACACTTTTGCTTCTCAGAACCAAAGTCGTCTAGGTAACACTGGCTCAAAACGTTCATGCATCAACTCCCTGCAAGAGATCTGCCCATGATCAGAGAAAATGAGAATAGGCAGGGAGTCTGTGGGGAGTATTGTTTGTGCTATTAACTAAACTGCACAGAGAAAAGGATAATTCATCGTTCTCTACTGCTGCCATAATATTGCTACAATTATTAGGGCATCAGAAGAGCAGAGCAGAGATGAAGCAGCAAGCATGCATGCAGATATTGCATACTAAAATATTTATAAACCAAAAGTGTATTTTCACAAAACACCTCTTTGATGGTGCCTGAATAGCACCTAGTGTGTCTGGAATCACACAATCAGGCAGTGTGCAGCAAAACATCTGTTCTGAATCTTCAGGCCCCCTCCACTGAACATCAGCAGCAGTAACTAGGCTCTTTTTAATAGCGTCTGTCACCTCTGCATGAGGTGGCACTTTGAGTGCTACATTAACTAACACAAACTAGAACCTCAAGGTTAATGACAGGCATGTGTTGACCTGCCAGATAACAGGGGTTATGTGGCAGAGGGGCTACGTTTTAGAGGTGCTGCACCCTAAATGAGAGGACAAGTGGTCTGTGACGTCGAGGCTGTGTCCAGACTCGAGTTTCTTTTTTGGGGACTAAGTCAGTCTGACATAAGGGCCTGATAGACCAGCCTCTAATCACTGCTGATAATGAGTCAAGCCAGGCAGAATTTTACACACCGTC